CCTTGACCCCATCAAAAAGAATTATAAGTAGTCTGATGGGCTCAACTTTGGACACACATAGTACTGCCAGCATTGATAAAGAAAACAGGTGCATTACCAGCTGTATTCAAGGGAAAACCAAAGCAAAACATCTAAACAATATAATAATAATTTAACAATTGAATGCTGCTTATCTGCTCAGAAGGAAAGTCATTAAAAACAGAAACCAATTGATTGTGTGGCTGAATATTCTGAACTTTTGTGGGGAAAAGTAATACAACGGATTTATTAATCATCTCTTATTAAAACAGACTTTAGTATTTAGGTCTAAAAGCTAATTAACCAAAATACCTTTTAAATTAAAAACACTTTTTCATGATCATTTTACAATTTACACTTTTACACAAAGAGCTTTAACCATTTGATTTTTGCCTTACAAAACCAAAAAGAGCATCTTTGATGGATCTTTAAACGTTAGAGACTGCATGTTTTATTTTTTAAAAACTGAGGAATGTAATTTCTTCCCATGAAACTTTTTGAAAATTGACTTCTGCTGTCCTTGTTTACAGTTACAGAATTTGAAATCTAAGATTTTTCACATTTATGATGCTTCTTTAGTATAGACTCCAAGACCAAATCCACTAATTAATAAATTTGAAAAAAATAAGTTGAATCTTAAAAATAAACACCGATTTAGCCGAAACCGGTTTGGCTCAGTGGTAGAGCGTAGGTCTGCGGACTGAAAGGTCCCAGGTTCGATTCTGGTCAAGGGCATGTACATTGGTTGTGGGCACATCCCCGGTAGGGGGTGTGCAAGTGGCAGCTGGTAGATGTTTCTCTCTCATCAATGTTTCTAGCTCTCTATCTCTCTCCCTTCCTCTCTGTAAAAATCAATAAAATATATTTTTTAAAAATAAAATAAACACCGATTTATATGTAAAGTGTATATTTCACAATTATATATCTTTAATTATTGTTGAGTTTCCTCCCAACAATTCTAGAGATTATCTAATCCAGGGCCTTTGCTCTCTTCATTCTCTCCCCAGAGGGGAAGTGACATGCCTTAGATTAACCAAGATAAAAAGCTGTGACTCAGCACCCCTGGGTCAAGTACTCTCCACTGCCAAATCCTCTCTCACACAACAGGAATTTATGTTTTTATCCAATTAACAGACTGTTTTCCAAGAGCTACTCATGTGGTATTTTAAAGTGAAAATCATTTTTAAAACGTTGTGTTTTTTTTTTTTTCCAGCATTTTAAAAAAACAAAAACAAAATTTTTAGAACCCTTTTAGGATTACGGGATCTATTGAAAAGATAATATGGAGTTCCTATATGCCTCTTCTCCAGTTTCAACTATTATTATCACCTAATATTAGTATGGTACATGTGTCATAATTAATAAACAAATATTGATATGATATTAGTAACTGAGCCCTTACTTTATTCAAGTTTCCTCAGTTTCCCCTCATGTACCTCTTCTGCCCTAAGATCCCATCTAAGTAGTTCTGGATCCTTAGGCTCTTCTTGGCTGTGACAATTTCTCAGACTTTCTTGGTGTTTAATGACCACAACAGTTTTGAAGAGTACTGGTCATATATTTTGTTGATTATCCCTTAATTGAGATGTGTGTGATAATTTCCTATTTTTTAGACTGGGATATTATGTTTTTTAGGAGGAAAACCATAGAGGTAAACTTTTATATTCATCCCATGCTATCAAAGGAACATACTATCAATAGGAACTATTGCTGTTGATGTTTACCTTAATCACCCAGCTGTAGGTAGTGTTTATCAGGTTTCTCTACTGTATAGTTAGCCATTCTTTTTGTTTTCCCTTTCCATATTGTGCTCTTTGGAAGAAAGTCACTATATTCAGGCCACACTTAAGAAGAGGGAAGTTATCTTTCACTTCCTTAAGGATAGAATCTATACTAATAAAAGGATAATATGCTAATTAGGGCGGATGTCTTCCAGAAGACCTTCCAGACAAAGCCTTCGTGGCTGCGAAGGCTGAGGCGCAGCAGTTAAGGGCCCAGGCTCAGGCCCGCATTGGCAGCAGCAGGATACTGGAAGCTGCACCTTCTCCTGATCCACCAGGTTGCCTCCTGCAGTCTGTGGCTTAGGTTGGGGGCTGAGGCAGAGGAGCTTAGGGGCAATCACCCTGGCAGGGGACAAGGTAGGAGTGATCAGGCCATCAGAGGGGCAAGGTAGGGGTGATAAGGCCGACAGATAGAGGCAGTTAGGGGCAATTAGGCAGGCAGGCAAAAGAGTTAGGGGTGATTAGAAAGGAGGCAGGCAGGCAGGTGAGCAGTTAGGCGCCAATGGTCCCACATTGTGAGAGGGATGTCTCCTGATCAGATCTAAACTGGCAGGCAGACATCCCCCAAAGGGTTCCAGATTAGAGAAGGTGCAGGCCAGGCTGAGGGACAACCCCTCCTGTGCACAAATTTTGTGTACTTGGCCTCTCGAATCTACATAAATATTTGAAATTCTTCTGCATGGAATATTGGTCTATTCGTTTATTTATTCATTAATTTATTTTTATCACAGTGAGCTTATAAATACTTTAGGTAATAGCCCAATGCTAATTTATTTATTTATTTATTTATTTATTTATTTATTTATGTATTTATTTTGCTCAAATTGTTCTAGATTTGGCCACTGAGAGATTTTTTTTTAGTTGGCGTTCTTCATCTTTTGAAATATCCTCTTTGTGTGTGTGTGTGTGTGTGTGAGCATTTTCTTTCTGGCAATACCGGATGCTCTAGACATCTTGTATATTTTCTACCTCAGTCCAAGAACCAGCCATTTCCAAGTTCTTTTGTGGAAAAATGGTATTAAAAATTAAGGCAAAGAGTGGTAATTGTGTTCTTTGCTATTGGGGTGTCTTTGTGTTTAAGTCCTCTCCACTGCCAACTCTAATGCATCATTCTACCTTTGTTTATCTGTAAACTTCCACTCCATATATATATATATATATATATGTGGTTTTAGAATTGTTAATCTCTATGCCCATAGAAAAAAAGTTTATCAACTATAGTACATTTATTATGTACAGTTCCTTTTGCTTTTGATCTTTTAGAGTGCACTCATTTTCAGTTTTTCGGGTCAGCACCTTACTTTCCTGCCCCTTCAGTGAGGTTCTTTTAGACATTTGTAATTCATTCAGATTATTTAGATTATTTTTTAGTATTTTGCCTTTCATCCTGGAATTCCCTAACCATCTAATTTATTTTTTTTCATTTGAATATATCAACATTTATCAATGTGAAATTCCATGCATTTGACAAATGCTAAATGTATTGTATTTACCATTATAATACCATGCAGAATAGTTTTACCTCCTTAAAAGATCCCCTTGCTTTACCTATTCAACTCTCTAAGCTGCTCCAAAACTCCTGGAAAATTATGCCTTTTTTAAACTCTAAATTGTTAGTAAATATCTCCAGAGGTAACCATCACAATCAAGGGATGTTTCTCTAATAAAGGAATTAATTGATGGATTGATTGATTGATTTTAGAGAGAGAAGGGAAGGGGGAGAGAGAGAGAGAGAGAGAGAGAGAGAGAGAGAGAGAGAGAGAGAGAGAAAGAAAGAGAAAGAGAAAGAAGTGGATTTGTTGTTCTACTTATTTATGCACTCATTGGTTAATTATTGTATGTGCCCTGACTGGGGATGGAACCTGCAACCTTGGCATGTTGGAACCTTGCTCTAACCAACTGAGCTATCCCGCCAGGGCCATTAAGGCATTTTTTTTATAAACAGATGCTTTCTGATATAGTGTTTCTCAGTGATCAGGGGTTGTGAGCCTTTATTTTTTAGATTTGTTTTCAAATACTGTTGGCGTAAAATATTATATTATTTTCAGGTGTACAATATAACTCATGAAATGATCAGTCAATATGTCTAATGATCTAACTGTAAGCCTTTTTTTTTATCTTGCTGGTATTTATTGAAGCAACATAAAGCAAACTATCTCAACTTGGAGTCAAACATCATTGTAAGTGGGGGAAGATGATGAATGAATTTGAGAGGACAAATGAGTGGATTGACAGATCACATTGAGTTTGTGTTTTAAATTTTCAAAATCTGGTTGAAAATATTTTTCTTGAATAATGATTCAATAAATTCAAAATTGTTAGTTATATTTTATTCTGAAGGGGATCCATCCTTCCTTGCTACCCTTCATCCTCTCTTCTTTTCTCTTTCTTACTTCCTCCTACGGAAATGTTTACTGAGTGAATACCTATTTTTTGCCAGGTACTATAATAGATGCTGGAAATGCACAGGTGTGCATTATCCCTGTCCTCAAGGACTTGCGACATTATTATTGAGGCAGGAAGATATGAAGGGGCAATTACTATATAGTAGTAGTTGTTCTGTTGGTGCAATAGGCACATACTGGAATAGAGTAACAGTTTGAAAATACAGGAGACCCAGACCCAGCTAGCCCCACCCTCATTGGGTGAGACCTAGACCTGGCCGGCCCCACCCCCATCAAGCCCCTCTGGGTGGGGGGCACAGCCTGAGGTCCTCCTGTCAGGCCCTGATGGGAGGCATGTGTGGTCTGAGGTCCCCTGTCAAGCCCCACTGGGCAGGGGGCATGGCCTGAGTTCCTTAGCCTAGGCCAGTCGCCATGCAGCTCAGGTCCCTGCTATTGGGTTGTGATGTTACAGCCTTCCAGTTAATTTGCATATCCCTCTATTATCTGTATAGATATTTTATTATTACGTTTCTAAGAATATGTGCCAGCATTTCCACAAAAGTATTAATTCAGGAAGGAACATGGTCAAGATATTCTTCTCATTGAGACATTAAATCTTATTGAAAAGGAAGCAATTTTTTAAAAAGATTTTAGAATTTGTGGCATGTCTAAGACATGAAAGTGAATTTAAACTTGAAAATCTGTAAGAAAAATTGTATTGAACATATAATTTATGGAGCCTAAAGTGTTCACCCATATTAGTATTCGCAAGTTTATTCTAGAGTCTAATCTGAAATGAATTTTCTTTCTTTGGCAGGATGATTCTTTAAAGCAATTGCAGGTGGTTCACCAACCATGGATCTTGCCAAGTGACACAGAAAGCGAAGGAGTAGAAGCAGAACAAGAGAAACGTGAGTAGACTCTATTTATTGACAAATTGCTTTTAGCCAGAGGAAACCTACCCTGAAGGTCTATTCCTTTCATAACATCAGATGTTGTCTGCAAAAAAATTCAGACTTGACTAGGAAACCATGCAAACATAAGCTCTATTTCAGGAATATAGATCTTGATTCAATTATGTCATAATTGTGTTGCAGAGAACCATAAACTAACTTTCTGAGAACAAGTATAGAACCTTACAAGAAGAATTATTCTTTTAGAACACTAACATAAATGTCCATTTAGAATGTGAATCTTTGATAAATATATAATTAGATCAGTGATAATTTTTGATTATTTAAAAAAATCAAAATATGTTAGGAACAGTTTGTTATTATATATAAAATTCTCATTATTAGTTAAATATATATACATATACATGTGTATATATATGCAACCATTACAACCAAAAAACCAAAACAACCGGAGCTACTGGTCGACTGGTCACTATGATGTGCTCTGACCACAGCCAACTTTTCATGACTGGCCAATTTTCTGTGCCAGCCAACCTCCTGCAGTCCCTCTCCCAGCCAGCCAACTACCTGCGGCCCTTCTCCCCAGTCTTCCCCTCAGCTGACAGGCCACAATTGGCCCAGCCCTGATCTCCAGCCCTGACCCAGACTGAGTGAGATGGCCCCAATCGACCCTGATCACTGGCCAGGCCTAGGAACCCCACCTATGTATGAATTCTTGCATCAGGCCTCTAGTATAGAGAGAGAGTTGATTCTTAAAGAATGCCTAGTGTTGACCACAAACTTTACTGATAGCATAAGCAGTCAATTAACACATTTAGTACATTTTATGATGGTGTTCCAAAAGGTCTCTGAGGAACTGTTCATATTTCTTCTTTTTTTTAAAGAATTCCTGAGAAGTTCCTTAGATTGTATTTCAATGGACCTATCTTAAGTTCTTTGATCCTTTCTTACGCAAGTTCAAATCTGTTATTGAGGCCCTCTAGTGAATTTTTTCATTTTAATTCTAGAATGTCTATTTTGTTCTCCTTAATAATTTATATGTTTTAATTGGTAGGTTCATTTGGTAGTTCATTCTCATGCTTTTTAAGAATTTTATTTGACATGATTTCTTTTAATTCTGACTGTACTTATAGTAGCTGATGACAAGTTTTATGTTGTAAAGTCCATCATCTGAGTTTACTCAGGAGAGTTTTGATTGAATGTTTTTTTTTCTTATTTATAAGCCACACTTTCATGTTTGTTAGCATGTTTAATATGATTAATAAAACATGTCACTCTTTGGTTTGTTTGTTTAAAACTGGACACTTAATATAATGTGGGAACTCTAGTAACTGGACCATCTTCCCTCCTGTCCCCAGTTTGTTCTTGCTGCTGTTAGTTCTTGTTATTATTTTTTGTTGAGTGACTTTGTTGATCTACTGTGTTTCCCCAAAAATAAGACATCCCCTGAAAATAAGACCTAGCGCAACTTTGGGAGAAAAAATTACTATAAGACACTGTCTTATTTTCGGGGAAACAGGGTAGCTCTGTAAAGTCTATATTATTTATTGTACTCAGCCACTGAAATCCACATTCAGTAGCTGTGTAGTCAGCACATTCAATCTTCTATGACTGTTCAGAAAATTCTAAGGCTTCATGAGAATTTCAGGGCATCTGAACTGACACCAGGCAGTAAATCCTCAAAATTAGGTATTTCAACATTTGTATGTGGGGTAACTTATCATCATAAATATTTAAGGACTTTCCTTTAATCAATAAATATAAAAGTGAGTTAATAACTAGTGTTAATTATCTGTTAGAAGCAAAACATTCTAATGCCAAGTTGCAATTTTTCTTTCTAATACTGGTTTTTGAAGATATTTTTTGGTTATAAATACATTTTTTTGTAATTTCTAGAAGCCAAATGCCTCTGAATTATTCGTGTGGCCTTTTTACTTTGAAATGTTTCCCGTGTCTGTGGTAAAATTCTGATATTATGAATGGTTCAATTGATTTCTAAGCTCCTAGAAAAAATTTAAAAGGTTGCATTTAATGACATATCTAACATAATCTCACAAACTAAACTATTATTAAGTGTAATGGGAAAATGGGGTCAGGTTGCTCAGCAATACATAAAGTTGCATGCTTCATACTACCTTCTTTGTTTATTAAAATGCCCTTGCCACATGCAATAATAGTCAGAAAATTTTATAACAAGTGTCAGAGAAGCCTGTGTTTAAACAACAAGACAGCCGAACTGTTATTTTGGACTGCAAAATTCATTGGATTCGAGCAGTGATTTTCAAATGGTGTGCCACTAGAATTTTTATAACATGAAATACTTGGCTACTTAGGGGCAACTAACCTCTTTTCCTTTAGAATATCAAATAAGAAATGGCAACAGCCAATACAACAATAACCGCCTGGTGTGAATGAATCAAAATTACCCCTATTTGTTGCGTGTGCAGTGAGATGGAAAAATACTAAAAATTGCTGGATTGTGGAGTTGAATTCTTTAAAATTAAAAATAAGAGATACATGGTCCAATTTTTTGTTATTTTTAAAAATCAAAAGTATTAATGAGTAGCACATGTTTTTAATACTTTCACCAAATACTTTTTGTTTGTCTTGGAATATTCTTATATTTGCTCTAGATGTGGCAAAAAAAAAAAAAAAGAATAGAATAATGGACACAACATGAAGGAAAAATCTACTTTATTCTTTAACTTTGATGGGTTTAGCTTATATGAAAGCCTTATATCCCATGGAAAGTATTGTTACAAATGAGAAGAATGTATTGGCTGGCTGCAAGTCTTTCCATGAGTTTACAGTTTCCCCAGAGCCTTTTATTCATGACGCTATCAATTCCCCACTGTGTAGCTTTGGTGTCCTGGTGTAACGTTAGTTCACCATATATACTTGGGGCTTATTTCTGGGCTCTCTATTTCTGTACCACTGGTCCATGTGTGTCCTTTTATGCCAGTACTGTGCTGTTTTAATTACCATAGCTTTGTAATATAATTTGAAATCAGGAAGTGTGATGCCACCAATTCTGTTCTTCGTTCTCAAGATTGATTTAACTATTCAGTGTCTTTTGTGGTAGTTTTCTTTTCTTTTCCACCTAATTTGTTTAGTTTTTATTAAACTATGTATCTGATAAGGGATTAATGTCCAAAATATGTAAGAAATTCACACAACTCAATAGTAAAATAATAATAATAATAACTTGCTTAAAAAATGGAAAAAGACTTGAATAGACATTTCCTCCCAAAAAGACATAAAATGGCCAACAAGTACATGAAATGGTACTCAACACCATTAATAATCAGGGAAAAGTGATCAAAACCCTATAATGAAATATCACCTCACATGTCTTAGAATGTGTATTTAAAAAAAAAATAAGAGATAAGCATTGGTGAAGATGTGGGGGTAAAAGAGAACCCTTGTACATTATTGTTTTAATGTAAATTGATTGTTAAGCCATAATAAGAAACAATGTGAAAGTTCTGCAAAAACTAAAATTAGTACTACCATGTGATCTAACAATTTCTCCTCCGGGTATATACTCAAAGAATATGAAATTAGCACCTCATTAGAGAGCTACGCTCCCATTGGAGCAGTATTCACAATAGCCAGGATATGGAAACAACCTAAGTAGCTGTCAATAGATGAATGGACAAAGAAATTGTTATGTATATTACAATGGAATATTAATATGCATTTTTTTTAAAAGGTGATCTGCTAATTTGCAACAACATGGATGAATTTAGAGAACATTATGCTAAGTGAAAGAAGCCAGATACAATAAGAAAAAAATAGTGTGATTTCACTCATATGTAGAATCTAAACAAGTCAAATACTAAGATGCAATGAATAGAATGATGGTTACTGGGGCCGGGTTATGGGAGAAATGGATAGATATTTGTCAAGGGCTACATAGTTGCAGTTATGTAGGATAAATATGTCTAGAGATCTGACATATAGCATTTAATGTATGGAAATTTGCTAAGAGAAAGGTAACAAAACTTACCCATAATATCACCCTCAAAATATCCTCCATTATTATTTTGGGTTTTGATCACATAGTCTTGCCTGTTTATTTTTTATTAAGTATTGAAATTGTATATGAAAAATTAGAGAGATAATTTGAGACCTAACATGATATTAACTTCTTCAAAGAGAACATTTTACTTTGTTTCTGAAAGAAGTATTCCTAGATTATTTGAAAATCAACAAAAATTTGAGATTTTAAGTTGGGCTTTATTCATTTCGAGGGCTGCCATATTCCCATGTTGTGCTTACATACAAACTTAATTACTTACATACTCCTTTCCTGTAGTATGTCCCTTCATAGTAGCAATCCCAAACCTGGGGAGTTTATTTGAGTCACCTTCCTCAGTAACAGTGGAGCTCCAATTCTAGGAGTTTTTTGCAATCTCTCTTTTGGTTGTCAGTCCCTCAGAATTTATTTCAGTAACTGGCAGGTACTTTTAAAAGAAGCATGCCCCCAAATTCCACTTTCAAAATTTCTGTTTGTTTTCTTATTCTCCTGTATATTTACCATGTACTACCCGTATTTCCCCAAAAATAAGACATCCTCCAAAAATAAGACCTAGCGCAACTTTGGGAGAAAAAATTAACATAAGACACTGTCTTATATTCAGGGAAACAGGGTAGTAATACTTTATTGCTTTGAAAGGTGTCTGATGCCTTCACACATACTTTTAAATGTATTTTTCATGTTTTGTGGGATGCTTTATCTCAATAATGTACCCAACCATTACTGGATTATCAATTTCTCACTTCAATACATTTCAACAGATTTAGGCATCATTAACACATTTTCAGATTATTGCATTTTGTTTTTATAGACTAATGAAAGATTTACTTTTTATTGCTTTAATTAGTGCCAAACATAGTGTCAGACACATAGCATGTGCTTGGTAAATATTAGTTAATTCTAAGCTCTTACTTTTTGGCTTAGCAATATAACATGTAAAAATGATTTCTATTTATGC